TCTTGAGGCCCTAACCGATATCAACACTTCTAAAGTGTTCTTCCAGATAGATGGCCGATTTCAGTCATCCAATTGCAGCGTGGTTGATTGTAAGGAAACATTCGGACAATATCTGACATTTGCCGGACATCACCACACCCCGTACAATACAAATGTATGTTTACATTGTTATCTCAGTGCCAATCCATAATGACGTTTGTTTTACACAATTGATCTATACTGTTTCCTTGGGAGCAAGAACTTCCACTTCTAACTTTCGATCGGTTTGCACGTTATTGCTCTCACTGAACCTTGCCTCCGTGCATTAATGCAAATTTTCGTTAGCATGTACTGGTACATTTCCTGTTAAACGGTACCTCACTGCAAGTCTGTCCCAGCCACAAGTATTTTGGTTCAACCAGTAGTTACTTCGTTGTTCGTGAGTTACGGGACCCACTTAGAAGCTCGTCAAGACTGGCCGTGGCCGACATATTTCAAACTACTGAGGTGTTGGTCATCTGTTTCCTTGATAGTTAACCGCTCACTCAGGACTATGGTCTCAGTTCTTCTTTATTTCTCCCCCTCCCCTCAAATTTTATTACAACTTGTGATTTTATCACTCCTCTCACCTTCTAATTACCACGTGTTTTCTATTTCCGACTATGAAAATTCCTGTTTCCCATATGACAAATTGCTGACTGATCTGGCTGTCTTAGTTTGAGTTTTGTGTGCCTTAGTGCGCTGTTGCTTTGTTAGATGATACAAATACGATAGACTGACCCAAATTCATTGTGATGGTAACTAGGATCCGTTCTACCGCGCGATTATTTGATTTTCCAGCTTTCTCTTTTTGGCTTGGGTTTCGCAACTTCCAAAATTTGCTTGGCGCACATTTCGAAAAATGATGCTGCCGTTCTAGCCCTGTCGTAAATCGTAAATATCTCCGTTGTAATATATATCCGTTACTATTAATGTCAGTAAGCTGTGGTTTTAAGCAACACCCCTGAAACCAATCTCTGTCAAGTATTATTTGTTTGAATGCGATGGAAATGTTAATGATGACCGACAAAGAGCACTGGATAGCTCTTTCGTCCTGTTTGGGACTCGTCAGCAGTGCTTACTTTTTGTGTCCCTGTCAGGACTCGAACCGCGAACATTCGTCTCGGGACTTCAAACTATTACCCCTGAGTTACAATGGCTCAATTATTCAGATGCACCAGTTCTGGCGCCTCTGAACAATCGAATGGGCTAATCCAAGCTTGGTGCTCTATATATTATTCTTTTTATTTCTGGATTTCTATTTCTTTATGGGAATTTGTGGTTCTACACCATTACTTCTAATTCTTCTCCAAAGGCCTATCCCAAAATCATTAGAGTCTTCACATAAGTGTGATGATATCCCCGTGTATCATCTCTCGGATTTGTGGTTTCTAATCACCACAATATATCATGGGAATTCTCTCAAAAGGTCTCAATAAATCTCACCAATTGCTTAATCATGTTCTTCACTTCTTTAGAGCGCTTGAATCGAATCTTGGTCGAGTTCACAAATATGTCTAATTTTCTTCTGTAACTTACCGGCTTGCTTGTTTTCTTTCGCTCATTTCTCAACGATTTACATCCAGAAAAACAAATGTGATATTTTTATTTGCACAACTTTCAAGTCACATTGGTTGTGCCTCTAACCAAGTAATCCACTTTGGGAGGAGCAGGATGTAAATAGTTGAGTCGGAGCAGATCAGGTCACCATGTCTTCGGATCATTTATTTTCGTCTGAACAATATTAGAATATTACCACTAATGGGGATCTTTAGTAACTCTGAGTTCATCACAGTAAATGCCGAGGGTGACGAATAACAGAAAATGGTGCCCCAGAAGATTACGACGGATTATCACGGAAGGTATACTTATCTCCTCAACACTTCATGTACTCCACAAACGAATAAAACATTTATTTACATAAACAACTGCAACTATTTTTCAGTATTTTATAACTGAAATGATAATGTCAAATATCGAGTTGCAGGACAAAAGACCGAGTCTATCAAAAGTTATCAGGGAACAGAACGTTGTTGGTCAAACATGTTCGGAATTTTAACTCAATCTGATGATAACTCTTCATCTTTACCGCCACCGCCAGTGTTCGAATTCAGTTCAAGGTTCAAATCAGTGGTTATGCAATTTTATTGTATATTTATAAACAAACAGTACCTGTTTCTGCTTGATCTCGTGCATTAGCATCTCCCATTCTGCGTTCTGTTCGGTTACCAACTGGTCTTTTTGGGCCACCAATGCAGCCTAGTTCAAGATAAAATAGGTCCCGAAGTTTTTTAGTAGCATAGGGCGGGGTGAAAATGAACGAAAAGGAAATGCAACTGAGATACACATCAAAATTCTTCTACAAAACTGGTTATTTTGTAGATAAGTACACATCACTACACAAGCAATGTGATCGTTACCGTATTTTTTCCAACTTATTCAACAAATAGAGTACAAAGCATTTTGGATCAGAAATATACAGACAAGCTAATCAAGATACCGAGGATTTTTTCTTGTATTGAATACATAACTTTGAAAACAACCAATGAGCAACATGTTTAGGGGCAACGTGAAAGTTAAGCGGTAATGGTGGAGTTCGAACACACAAAATCCCAAACTTTAACTTGATGACAAGCTACAAACTGGTGTCGGAATAAATTAGTTGGAGCAGCAAACCAAGCATGCCTACGACATTTGACAAAGGATCCAGAGGAAGATGGATAGAGTAAGAAACCAATTCATTTGTCGCATTATTTCAGACACAATATATCATAATAAAGGGAATATGCACAAAAAATCAGGTTATTGTAATATGGCGAACTCGGACTTGGACTAGAATTTAGACTAAAATTCTCAAAGTGACTGGAATATTTAACGTCTTCAAAATAGCAAAGTGCTCCACACAGTGATATCGCACAACATAGAATAAAGTGCTCTAGCTTTCAACTCCTCTCGGTTTGGGTAGATTCAGTTATCTGTAATAGCAACCACATAGTAATAAAGCAGTAAATATTTCGAGCCTAAAAGATAGCTTCAAGCAATGGCAGACGCACCTCTATCGCGGCCAGTTCTTCCCGATAAGTTTTTTGCATGGCTTGGATTTGTGATTCCATGCGTTCAGACAGGAGGTCAATATCTTCGGTCCGTTTCTTCAATTCACGAACATAATGGTCATCCTTGGCTTTGATTTCCTATAGAAGTTTCATATTTAACAAGCATGGACAGCGGAGGGACGGGTAGTGTTACGTGGTTTGTGCATGCAAGACTGTGTATGGGCATGCACGTGAGCATACGTGTACATATAACACACAAATACAAAGCAGGCAGATAGATAGACAAACCCTTTAAGCAAGACACTTAATAGAGGGAGATACAGAAACGGACCGAAGCATAACTAACAAACTCTTAAAAGTGATACCAACGTAACATACGATATTCTGTTCACCTTGCCGGAGGCAGAGTAACCAGGATGTCTACAGACGACGAAACCCACGTCCATACAACCCGGGGGTTTTGGCTACTAGAAAACGTTTCTCAATTACTATTTGGTGAACTGATCATGAAGGGATTCAACCATTTAAAGATCTAATGCGAAAGCTGAGTGGGTGATAATAGGCAATTCGTACAAAAGCACGTTTTTAACTTCTACCTGGGTAGGTTTGTACGTTGTAGAAAAGAGAGAATATCAACAGCGAAAAATAGAGCGCAAACATTTTTCACAAGTCACTTCATTTCTCGAAAAAAAGACAAATTGAAATTTGGGTGAATTATTTGTCGATCTAAATGGGGATCTCAAAGGAACCATTTAGATCTGGGAATGTGCAATCAGTGGCCAAACGGAAAACACCCGGTTTGTTTAAATGTTACGTTATAACTGGTATCACACACCCTTCGAGTTCATTGAGTGTAAATGACTGCAATAACATCACCTTATGCATACACGAAGCATCTATTAAAATGCATCTATGACGACAGGCAGGCGGCCACACAAAATATTCTAAATAAAAACGGAGAGAAATCACTCACCAGGTTTAATTCGTTAATTAGTTTATTTTTCTCGGCTACAAGATCTGCACAGTCGGCTTTCTGTTTGGCCAACATCTAGATAAGGTTGACAGTTAGGTAAAATGATTACACATCATCCTCGTACATCCCGAGTGTCCTGAGGTATTTCCGAATCTCTCAGTTTATCCCACTGTTCGGAAATCTATGACGCAACGGAGAAAAAACGAAAGAATCAAAAGGTGAACAATCAGTCAAGTGAAACTGACACATTTCATTGAGCATTTACAATTGGATTCGTAAAAATATGATCCAGGTATTTAAACTAAAATTATCAAAACAATATCCCATCATAACCACCACAAAGTCATGCAATGACTGAATAAGCGACTGCGCATGTTGTGACTACTGACTTCAATGGGCATAAGGTGTTGTTGTCTTGGTTGCCTTTTGATTAATTTCACTTTAGTTGGTACACGTTTGCTATCCGATTAATGAACTTACATGGTTGAAACTTTCCATACCAACTTTTGCATCCGTTTCCAATTTCTCGATTCGATGTGCGTTTAATTCGTCCTCCTCGGTGCGACGCAGATTTTCTCTCGCATCACAGGCGACCCGGACATTACTGATAAATGAATCTCCATCCCGAACCAATTTCGAGATGTGTTTTGAACTCAGATCGATCTGTTTTTGACTTAAGGACAGTTCTTTCTGTTCTTCTGCTTGCTTTGAATCATCTTCCGGTCTATAAATCAATGCAGAATTTTATCGAATTGCATTATACAGTTTGGAATAATAATAGTAACTTCTCAATCCGCTACTGATAATAGAATATCAGTCATTAGCCGTTCTATGATTCCCAAATAACCATACCCACATAATCGTGATTTATTAATTTGGGCAGTTAATAAGGAAATTTAACTGGACCTAGTGGTGTGAAACACGTTGCGTCAATCACTGTGACCTTGGACCGACTAAAGGTCTATTCCCCCTTTCCTTTTAATAAGGTGCCTCCTTATAAGACTAGAAGATGAATCACCTGTTTAGTTGAAGAAGAGTTTTTCTCTTCCTGTTGTCGGAGCACCAGGGGATCCACGGAGCCCACCAGTGCAAGAAGCTGGACAAATTGGCACGCCGCCTCTACGTTCTGTGAACCGACCTGACTTGACCTAACCTGACCTGACCTGAATCATCTGTTCGCCTCTGAATGTGTGTTCTCAGTGGCAGTAGGTTACAGCGGACCGGGTTCTATTTTAGATAGGGCTGAGTGGGGGATACAACACGGGAATCGGTTAAATGCACATGGTATTATTAGGTCATCATACAGTGTGACACGCACATTCCGTCATTAAGTTCAAAGTCCATCTGTCTTGGTGTGAGGTTGAGAGGTGGGTCTATATTAGAGGAGAACGTATGAAACAAGCCAATTTAGCAAGTATATTTCATACATTTGAATCAAACAAGTCACACAATATGAGCAGGAGTTATATCGATCACTGATTTCGTGTGCCCTTAGTGATCTACCAACGTACACTGGAATGCTATTAGAAGCACATCATATATGGACATTTGCAAATTCATGCTGGTTTAAATGGAAAACGTTTGTCTTTGGTGTAGTAACTGAATACATTTTGAGTCAAGTGAAAGAGCAAGGGCTATTGATTAAAGAGAGTCAGAATCAAAGATGAGAGCATTGGAAAGATTACGTAATGGAAGCTAGTCGACTGCGAACGTTAGAATGTTGAAGGTGGTTGCACAAAACCAAATACTGCAATACGTAGCTGATTCGCCCAGTTGATTGACCACAATGTTTGCATAACATTTTTAAACTCTTCAAATTAACTTTACTTCCCCTGGATAAACTGTTCTCCTATTTGGTACGGCTTGAACACATTCAATATTTGATCGTTTTTGGTTGACCAGTTTTCATTACCGAAGCGTTTTCATGCTCACATCTATTGTTCTGGTTCTCTCCAATCCCACCCATCCCCCATTCTTATTCCTTCATTCTAATCCAAATTTATTCAGACTTTGGAAACAATATAGAATGATTGTAGCTCGGGGTGCGGATGTTGGTATGTGCTCTGAGCTGGAGGTGTTGTTCTCAGACATTTCGCAGCCAAGCTAGACGATATCATCAGTGCAACTTCGGAAAGTACACTACAACCAAATGTTGTCCACTTGACTCACTGCGATTATATATGGCAAGCTTTTTAAAACCTTCTCACTTATTTGTTGTGCGTATACCCGTGATTAAGCGCATTCCAAGTTGATAGTCAATATCCATCCAGCTCATGGTGTGTTACTCATGTTACGCAAATGGGTAGAACGTAAAAGATTGTTCTGGTATTTAAATAGTTAATGCAGTCTACCGATACATATTTGTTGCTTTAAAAACTTTGATCGGTTACTCAGTCAATCAGTTATATCCCTTTTTAATCGCAAACTAACAGACGAGAGAAAGAGAGCTGATTGGTTAGGTCCTTTGAGTATACATTAACTGAGCTGTCCCCCTATCGTGGGTCTATACAGTGTCAACAAATACTTCATTTTCACAGTGGCTTTACGGAGGTTTCTATTGATCGAGTCTAAAATACTATTGGTGGTTAATACTATACCGATTCCATTGCAATCCGCGTTGTCTATCCACAATTATTTCAGAACACTCAAGCCGGCAGTAAAAATAGAACAACAACCACTATCAGTTGATAGATAAAGGTGGAGTTGTGCGCATTTTTGCTCGTACATGAAGGCCAGCAAGGCTAGAAAACGATATAGACTGTCCTATTGATCGAAGTGAACTGGACTTAAGTGAAGTGACAGAATAGCATAACATCTTCAGGAAATAAAAACTGACAGCCTGTTGCCAACCAACGCATTGATGGGATGTTGAAAGTGGAAAGTCTGTGGCTGCTTACTTTTCTAGGTGACTGCTGTTGATTCGTCATCTAATCGATTAAATGGAGAGGGGGAGGGGAATTAAACCACACCACACCACACCTACTTTTGCATCTCCAAACGGTTTTGTATGCGAAGCCGTCGGGCCGCAATGCGTTGCTCGATATCATTTGAGTTCACTGATGGACCGGAGTGTTCAACTTCCTCTTGTTTGAAATAAATCTTTCGTGTATAGTTATTCATCTTGTACTATTTTTAAAACACTTCACTTGCAGAAGAATAAACGTGACAATGGTTTCCAGGGCTGAAAAATATACACATTGTACAACTGACTTGAAACATCAAATTGACACGCACTTCGCATATAAACAGCACAGTTTAAATCAGTTGTCTTCTAAGTTCAGGTCTGAGAGTCTGGCCAGCATTTACAATGAAAGGTTGAGCGCTTTCTCAAACCCCACCACCACCGCTTGATTTTCCCTATGGCAGCCCTTTGATTGGCCGCTTCCCCTTCCTGGAAATTGTATCATTGCGTATTCAATAAAAGAAAGTAAAATTTCAAAAAAATTCGAGCATTTGACTTGATGCGTATTCCTCTCTTGCACAAGTAAAATAGTTATGCATTCATTGATTGAATACTATCACTCTGGAGCAGTGTTCTCTCGGCAAATCCCATTCACAGTTAGGACAAGCGTTCGTATTCACTTTTCTTTCTTTTCCATTTTATAACTTTAGTCCTTTTGCAACTGTCTGTATACATCCCAGTTCTGGGGTACAACTACAGTCCGATTTCAGTAATAGATAACGATCAATGACAAAACAATTTATAAGCACGTGATTTATAAATACATTCAGCCGCTATTATTAAAATACATTGAAATAGTGTGAGCGACATCCGGTCATGGAACTGGAATGTTGATTATCTCTTTTCCAATTTGTCTTGATCTCTCCACCCCTTCCAAACTGTTTGATATAAATTGTGATGTGTTAGCCTGTAGAAGAATCACCGCAAACGAGCTTGTTCGCTACTTTGTGTTTTCTCACAATGAGTATTGATGGTATATTCAGACATTGAAATAAAGTGAGGCAAACTTTGCTGATAACTGACAAGTACATAGTTATTGAAAAATAGACACAAATATGTAGTATAGACGAATCACTTACCTACAAAACCATCTTGGTGGGCGTTCAATCTTGGACCCATAATGATGGGATCGCTTCTCTGCTAAACTCCGACTTCTTATAAGGTTTTGTGCTATCTGTGACTTTCTTCCCTCGTTTGGTGGCTAAACCTTTTTCATTTCATTTTCATTTTACTTCCTTTTATTGAGTATACGAAGATGCAATTTTTCAGGAAAGGGGAATAGGCCAATCAAAGGGCTGCCATACGACACATAATGGGGAAAGACAGGCGGTGGTGGTGGGATTCGAACAAACGTCCTCCGAGGTGATAATTGGTGACGTTAGCACGTGATTATAGACCCCTATCATACTTTTATATTTTTCTACTTCTGAGCTTGCTCTGTGTCCCAGAAGATTTTCTTTCTTCTCTTATCGACAGAGCTTTCCACCACTTTTCAACTTCTCTTTCTTAACATCATCCCTACAGAATACTGTAGCGGTAGCTTAATTGGATCCTCTCTTCTTGCCTGTCACTTTCGGATTATGTCCAGCGTAAACCCGTTCATCGCAATGCCCTTCCGTTCTTAACACGCATCCTTCAACCACTCACCCATCGTCGTATATTTGCCTCCCTATCTTTGGTCTTCAACTGCTACAGTGAGCTTTTTATTTGTACTTTGCCGACCTGGCCTTTTGCCTAGTTTCACTGGCGTGCAAGACCCGATCACAAGCCTTAATTCACCTATATTAAGGGATAATTACAAACCGTCAAACAGTTGTGTTCAAATCCTTTTTGCTGGAACTGCGAACTTCAGAACAACCTCATCTCACTCTTATTTCCTCCCTCTCATATTCTTAACATATTTAAGCGCAGAATCAATGGATTCTGCTCTGTGCATGATTCTTCTTTTCTTTCTTTTTTCTTTTTCATTTTACTTCCTTTTATTGAATATATACAAAGATACAATTTTCAGGAAGGGGGAAGCGGCCAATCAGAGGGCTGCCATACAACACACAAATGGGGAAAGATTATGGAGCTTAAACAGTTACTGCACATCGTTTTTCTCGCATAATAAATAATAAACAGTGAATGGCCCTTTTCGAAGCTGAAGGAAAAGAAGAGCACGTTCTGCATTCACGCATTTTCAAACATTCTGGTTTGATAAAAAATAATAACAAAAGCTCCATCTTTTCCACTTAACTACCACATCCTTTGGTATCCTCAGCCAAACCAGTTACAGTGTCGAACCCCATCCCGAAAGACAGGAGAAATAAAATTTACCTAATATAACAGTAAAGAGCATCGTAGTCGTATATGGTAGTTATATTCTGGGACAGCGATTTTATAACGCTTGGCAACCGCGTCAGCAATATTTTATCGCGAGTGCTCGTATCTCACTGAACCTTTCTGGTTTGTGGCTCTATATTTGCTTTGCATTACAGTTTTAAGGTTAATCCCGACCCGTCTGACGGTGTTTCCTCGCCATCCCGTGTCCTGGTCTCCCCTCTTCGCTACCACCGTTCCCCGCCGTCGTCCGCAAAGCCTCATATCGTCTCCAGCTTTGAGAATACGAGCCGAGGGACATCCTGTCTTGCAGCTTTGTTGACTCCACTGCGCAGTGAGAGCCCGGACTACGTCTGTATTACAGTTTTACTCAGTTCGAATATCGCTCAGCACAACCTACTCAGTTTTCCGTCTCACTGAAAATACCGCGTTTTCCGCACACCCACAAAAAGACAGAGAAATCGCATTTTGGGTTTCACACCTGATTGCCATTTAGTTTGGTACAACCAGAGAGGGTTTTTGTTTCCTCGCTATACATTTCACCCAGACTAATAAATAAAATAAAATAATTGTCTTTTTACTTCCGTTTTATTTAATGAATATACAAATGTACAGCCAACATTCAGGAAGGGGGGCTGCGGTTTACAAAGGCTGCCTGGGAAGATACAGAAATAGGGAAAACGGGTGGAAGTGGAGGGGTTCGAACCTGGGACTCCCAAGTCACAATTTGGTGACCTAACCCCTTGATCCCCACCGCCCTGATGTGATTGTTATATACTTAACTTTGATTTGGTTCGGATCTGGTTTACCAAAGTAATGTGTGGATTTGTTGAGTTAGACTTATCAGAGGAATCCGTTGTCTAATTTGAAACGTTTTCTCTCCAAAATGAGTTAACTGTTCCGATGCGCATCCCAGCTTGTAGTATCTTCATTGGCACACCAGAAATTACTGTCACTCAATCACTGTTGAATCTCTATCCTCTCTGATTTGTCACACTCAAAATGATTTCGGTACAAAAGAGTCTTCCATTGGAGATTATGATATCCCGGATCTCTCGTCCCCACGCCGCCTCTCGGCGCCATGCGACGGGACATGTCCTTTCCCTCGCGTCCGATTTACTCTTCTAAACGTTGTATTTCGTTTACACGTTTTCCTTCATACTTTTATTCTAGAGCACTTAGTCCATTCTTAACAGCACTGTTTTTGAAACTGCATCCAGATTTGCTCTCTGATATTCAAAGTAGCTCTGGACCCAAGGGAAAGTAAACACCAATTTTCTCTACCTCCTCCTTCTCCTCCGTCTAACTCCTTAATTTCAATTAGTATTTAAACATATCTGTAGGGCAGTTATGATGGCTTCCAGGAAAGACATGGGTCGGAGAATTTAAATTCAATAACATTCGTCCACAACGTAATTCAACAGGAAACCTTATCGTGGTGGTTAGCTTACATTCTACCTGGTGGATTTCATAGACTACTGTGAATTGGATGGGTGATCCAAATGTGAAAATACCAGTGCCATCTGGGTGGCCTCGTAGCTTAGCTGGTGGAGCGTGCGCTGAACAAAGTATACGCACTGTCCATACGTGGAATCGAATCCAAACTGAGGCTAATGGACTTTGCATACATTAAGTGGAAGAGCATCACTCCTTCCCCGTAAACGCAGAACTTCAAATTGAACCAAATAAATTCAATCAAGGAATATATGAAATTAAAGGATCAACTCATGTGTAAACAACTTCACTTAGTTGACGCGTCTACCATTATTATTCACCGAAAAATGTTCCAAAAAGCAAAGAAGTATTGTGGAATATGATTACAATCACATTCCTTTTTCTACCCCAACGCCGATAAATCCATCAACTCAGTCACAGCAACAGTGTACATGCATGACCTATAAGCATTCTTACCATAATCTCTTGATAATGCTACACTAAGTGTGTGTAGTCAGTAATACCTCCCATTTCGGTACCACGATAACAGGTAAAGAAAACTTCTTCATTTAAATGACCGGCTTACAACGACCAGAAGCCCTCGATTGCAGGGACCCAGTTCCTGGAAGGGAACGGACGAACCATCGGTAAATACTAAAGAAGTAAGCACAAGGGGAATGAAATCATTCCGCAGATTTCATTAACGAATTCAGGGAAAGGACCACGATAAACAGTTGACTTTCTACAAAATCAACTGCCAACTGGCAATCTATAGACTGACAGATCTTGTAAGATGCATACAGACTGGGCAACCTCACTGCCCCTCACAAAACGACTCAGGTTGTAGACCATCTGGTCCACACACACTTGTAGGGCTGAGAATAATTTCCGAGGCATTCTTCTACTGTCTTAAAAGGCCATTCAATACATCCTCTGTATAACTTCTGGTAAACAAGTATATATATATATATAACATCGGCTGGTAGACAATCATGGTTCCAACGCCACAACAATAATAACAATAACAATAATAAGAAGCAGGTGGATTGTGATACAGAACAAAGTGGTGAGAGGGTGAAACAGTTAAACACAGGAAAATGATAGATAACTGCGCTAACAAAAATATTTTGTTTCATCGTACGCTTCTTGATATTTTTAGTGTTGTTTGTTTCAGTCAAGTCAAGTCAAGGAATGGCTTTATATACATCGAGAGGTGGATATTCAACAACCACATAACTACAATGTGTCAACAAAAAGTGAAAAAACAAAAACAATATAATACTGTAATTAAAGGACGTGAAAGAGGACAGCGATATCAGAAACCAATGGCATACCCGGGTGTTTATGATTGATTTAGTTTAGCGTTTTACGCAGATTTCCTGCAATGAGTTCATGGTTTGTT